GCTCGAGTCCCGGCTGGCAGCAGCGGGGCCTGGGCCCGCCGCGAGCGAGGAGCGGAGGGACTGTGGCCGCGGGAGGGCCGTGTTTTCACCGCCCGAGAGCACCCTTCTCGGTGGGCGCGCTCTCTGGAGTTACGGCGGCACTGCTTTGGCCCAGCGCGTCTTGTCCCAAACTCCGAGCCTGAAGCCGTGCCCGTGGGGAACTGCCCAGATTCCTAGTCGCTCCAGCCAGTTGTGTGTCGGTGCCCGGCACGCAGCCCTGGGGACGTTGGCAGAAGCCGCTCGGCTCAGCCGGGGATCAGGGTAGGGGCCTGTGCACGCTTCTCCCACCGGATGGGGGCCTTTCCTTTGCCCCTCTCCACGGGCCCTGGGGGCTGCAGCTGCTCACAGCCTGACTCCCCAGTTTTACACGTGTTTTCTATTGAAGCAGTGGCCTCAGCTCTGTGGGCAGCACTCGCCTCTGGGGCAAAGGGGCATTTTCCTGATTGACGTCCTCCTGCGGTTGTCACACCTCACAGCGAGCCGTTTCTGCCAAGGGCCCCCGCCCGGCTCCTTAATAGCAGAAAATGGAAAGCCTGCCCAGTTTTTTCAATAGAGGAGGTTTTTCAGTCTTGGAACTCTTTTCTTCTATTGTGTGGAACTGCAGTAGGAAGAGGAGTGGACTGGGAGCTGACCGGCTTGGGTTCAGTCTCAGTCAGCTGAGGACCTGCGGCGTGCCCAAAGTGAACCTTATAGACGTAGAGCCCCTGCCCGTATGGGGGTGGGAAACATTTTAACACGCTGGCTTGTGTGTATGCTAGGAAGGTGTGCATCATGTCCTGAAAATGGGTAACAAGGAACATCACCTAGGTGAGGGTGGGCAGGGAAAGAAAGACTTCCCCCAGTGATATTTGACAGTTCAGTGGATCCTGTCCTGGAGTGCGAAAGGCAAACCTTCCACATTCAGGAAATGACACGTGAGGATGTTGCCTCTCTGAGCTTTAGTTTTCTCATCTGAAGCATTAGGGACTTGCTCTAAAATGACTCCTGGTCGTTTTAGGGTGAAGAGCCACCGGCCTATCTGAGAATCCGAGGGCAGATGTGCTGAAATCACAGGCAAGCTCAGCAAATGGAGTATGCTAGCATTTGGATTATCAGTACATTCATTCTATGGATATAAATTGTCTCTGGAAAGATACACAAAAACTAAAGTACTCAATTGCTTTATGAAGTGGCGGCAAGGTGAATGGAGAATATATTCTATAACTTTTAAATCTTTTGGGGAATTGAACCACGTGACTGTTTTACCTATTCATAGTCTAAATAAGTTCTTGGAGAGGTAGCTACTCGGGGCAGAAAAATACAAGGTATGGCCAAAACATCTAGTGGCAGAAACTGCGGAAAGAATACAAAAATCCATCTTGAAGGGACTTACTTCCAGTGGCCCAATTTTGTGATGATAAGCATCAAAATGTAATCATCACGTGTATGTGGACATTGAATATGGAAGAACAGAAGAATCAAGCATTTGAATTAAGGTGTTGGTGAAGAATATTGAAAGTATTATAGACTGCAACAGAAGAAATATCTGTCTTGAAGGAAGTACAGCCAAAATGCTCCCTGGAAGCTACAATGGTGACACATCATCACATGTACATGGACTTGGGACCTGTAATCAGGGGAGACTAGTCCCTGAAAAGGGATATCATGATTGGTGACGTAGTGGGGAAGCAAAAAAGAAGATGGATTGACACAATGGCTGCAACAATGGGCTCAAACACAACCATTGTGAGGGCACCGGACAGAGCAGTGTTTCGCTCTATTATACGCAGGGTCCCTGTGAGTCAGAACTGATGTGGCAGCACCTCCGGACACCAGCTTCCAAAGCACTTGCGGGAATAGAGCAGCTACTGAGCTCAAAGTCATCCTCTGAGAGAGGGAAAGAAAAGGATGGGAAAACTTGAAGCATGGTTTGGTACTTAAATCATTTTATTGGGGGCTCATACAACTCTTATCACAATCCATACATACATACATTGTATAAAGCCCATTTGTACATTCGTTACCCAAGTTTGGTATTTTTAAGCTACAAAAAATTCAGGGGAATTAGAGGAAAATTAGTATGAATTGTATGTTTGACAACATTATTAAGTTGTGTTATATGTATGATACTGAATTGTTGGGTTACATTGGAAAATGCCTTATCTCTGGAGAGTCAAGCAAAAAGTTTTTAGTAAGGGCTGAAGAGTTTTGGTATCTGCTATATAGTTTTAAATAGTTCA